TTTGGGACTTGTGGCAGATCCTGCATGGTGCTGCCCCTGAGGCAGTTCCCCTGCCAGGCTGGCTGTACTTGGCACTTTTGAGGCCTGAAGCAGAGCCTCTGCCTTGCCCACCTGGACTGAGCAGGGGTCCATATGCACAGAGGCCCTTGTCTCCCAGGGACCTCCCGAATCTCTGAATCTCTGGGAGTTAGAGGCAGCGGCTCCTTTAGTTTCTAACTCTCCTTGAGTCAGCGTAGCTGAAGACATTTTGTTAAGTAAAAGGTGCCACTAGAGGGCTTCTCGGGAACTCCAAGAGTGAGATGCTCGTGCTCAACGGTCACCCAACAGCACCCAGCCTGGCTCCTCAGCAGAGCAGCACCAGCTGGGTGGTGGACCATTTTCCTTCAAGGGAACCAGAGGACTCAGAACAGGCTGGTGCGACGCATCCCCAGTTACCCCTCCCTTCGCCCCTTGGCGAGACAGCAAGAGACATGTCACATGTTTGGATTTCCACAGCCGCAGAGCATGGCTTCTGTCCAGGGCCCTCATTTCCAACGCGTGGAGGCTTGGTGAACGCTCTCACTAGGCGAGTCCCAGGAAGCAGGTGACGGAAATTGGACCCTCAGGTTCCTAGGGGGGAGTTGTATGTGGTTGACTCCCGCTGTACCCAACAGCAGCTGTTCCCCTTTAGCTGCCGTCCTGCTTTGTTTGGTAACGCCATCTCATCCTGGTCACCAGAATGCATGGCGGTAGCAATCAGACAAAGGATGGGCAGGCCTTCGACAACCTATGTTTTGAAAGTCCAAATGGTCATTCATTTATTGACAAATCTTCCAACTGAGCACATAGTCTGTGCTTAAACACCATAGATAAAGGCTGACCTTACCTGAGGAGAACTTATGGTCTTACAGGAAAGGCAGGTGTGGAGTTAATAAGACTAAAAGCCAAATAAATCATCTTAAGTGTGCAAGGCATTGAGGTGTGATGAGAGTGTAACTGGGGCATCAGGGAGGCGCTCCTGAGGAAATGACTGTGGAGCTGAGGCCTGAAGGCCAAGGAGGAGTCGGCTTCTGAATGCAATAAGAAAGAGGTTTTGAGGCACAGGAAGTACCAGGGTCCTGAGGCAGATGAGCACTTGGTGATTTCAGGAACTGAGAGAAGCCCAGCCGGGCTGAAACACAGAGAACAGAGGGAGAGGAGGAGGTGGTGAGTGGAAGCTAGAATATCATGCATTAGGAAAGATTTGTGTTTGTATGTAACAGAGGGCTGAATCCACGAACTTAACAAGCATCCCTCCAACATGTCCTCAGGGACCCAAGTTCCATCCAGCTCTTAACTCTACCATTCTTAGGGTGTGACTCTTGTCCTTATACTCACAAGATGGCTGCGGGAGCTCCATCCATCATATCTGCATTCTAGGCAGTAATACAGAGAAGGGCAAAAGCAAGAGGGACAAGCAGACACATTTGATTTCTTTCAAAAGGCTCCACTAGAACCTTCAGTTTATCTAATTATCCAGCCTGTGTCATGTGTCATGTGTCACATGTAACCCTTAAGACATCCAGGGAATGAGGTTTTTTAGCTGGCTATGTTGCTGCTTGCTACAACATCAATGTTCTGTTAATAAAGAAGAGGGGCAGGGAACAGATATTGGCTAGGCGATATTGAGAGTCCGCCCCAAAGGGCCTTGTAGGTTGTGGTAAGGAGTGTGGCCTTCATTCTGAGTGTATTTGAGAGGCCACAGAATGTTCTAAGCAGGACAGTGACAGAGAAGGGGGAGACAACTCAGGATTACCCCACTTGAGCCACAGAAACACACACCTGTGGGCAACTGTATGAGTTTCCTAGGGCTGCCATAACAAATTACCGCAAAGTGGGGAGCTTAAAACGACAGAAATGTATTCTCTCACAGTTTTGGAAGCCAAAAGACTGAATCGAGGCATCGGGAAGGCCATACTCCCTCTGAAGGCTTTAGGGAAAAATCCTTTCTTTCCTCTTCTAGCTTCTGGTGGCTCCTGGCAGTCTTTGGTGATCCTTGGCTTGTAAGCTGCATCACTCCAGGCTCTGCCTCTGTTGTCATATGGACTTCTTCCCTGTGTTTCCTCTGTGACTCGGTATCTAAATTTCCTTTTCTCTTTTATAAGGACACCCATCATTGGAGTTAGGGCCCACCGGACTCTATTTCCAAATAAGGTACTGAGGGTTAGGGCTGGAACATACATTTTTCCGGACACGATTCAACCTCCAGTCGCGCACAGGGCTAGAGTGCGGCCTAGATGCTGCTTTGCTCTGTTGTGTCACCCGTTTTCCCTTCACCCATAGATCATAAAAAGACAGCCCAGGAATTAGGTTTATTTCCAAAATTTCGACCCAGTGCCAGGCATCGGTCTCTTCTTCTCTTATAAGAGGTCAAAAAGAAGGGTCTGGACTCCCGCCTCAGCAAACCCTGCCTCAGCTCCAAGGATGCAAGGACCTTGAGCCATGGGTATAGAGGTGACCTCACCCATACCTGTTTGTCAGGGGCTCAGAGTTCGGGCAGGTGGGTGACTGAGGGTTGCAACAGACATTTAAATCACGGGCTAAAAAACATCTAACTTGGTTTCTTTTCTTCAGGCAAAATTTTAGGCTAACCAGTGTCATTTAATAAACCACTTTTTTTTTTTTGAACCAGCGGGAAGAAGAGGTGAGCTGTAGCAGTGGCTCTGGCAGGTGGTCGCAGCTGAAGCTCAACTTGCTTTAGAGTTGGGGTCCTGCAAACTGTCAGGTGTACAGTGTTGTTCGGGGCCCCCTGTATTTTT